TGAGAAACATGTTATTTCCCAACGAAATACATACCTTCTTCCTATTTAAGATATTTAGAGTTGTCACTAGAGTTCCGGGTTCACTGTTCTCCGGCATCGACACAACAATTGCACATTTTTCAAAACGGGTAGCAGTATCATTGTGTGAAGTGCTAGTGCTGTTAACTGGATGCCTAACTCTCGGTCTCCTGATGCGTTTGAATGTTTTACTTATTTTTCGCTCAAGAGGAGAGGAAGTCGAATTCGAAGTTTTGGTTTGCTCTTCCCTTTTCGGTTCCTCAAATTCTTCCTTTCCTAAAGGTGAATTCAAACTAGTGCTTGTTGATTTCTTTGCAGTATGTTTGACTATCTTTGATGGGGTTACTGAAGATTTTCCATTTTCCTCTTTTATTTCCCTTACTTCTTCTTGCGTCGCTGATAAAGTTGATTCTAAGGCGGCTTCAGGTGATTGTGTAGGACTGAACACAGTGTTAACTGTCGTTGCGAACTCAAGTTCTTCTTCGCTAGGCATTTTTGTTTTTCCTTCTTCACTTTCATCAAGATCATCATTTTCTTCTTCCTTAAGAGGCTGGAGTTCTTTCTTTGTCTCTGTCCTTGCGCTTGAATGCTCAGGAAGTGTCCTAGCTGTCGTCACTCTGATGCCCTGTACAGTTTTGATCGTACTTCCTTGTCTTCCTTTTTGAGAGGTTCCATCTTTCAGTAGAAATGTGGACTCATCGAGAGGTTTAAGAGATCTGCGTTGGGCCGATGCTTTAATCCAGCCATCTGTTGATGTATCATGCTCATCTGCAACCGGCAGCGGATCCAGCTTCTGCAAGGTTTTCTACTGATAGTTGAATTAGATTGAAATTGAAATTATTATTCATAAGAACGTCGAGACAGAGTTTTTCCAAACTTCATGAGATAAAATAAAGATGCGTACCTGTGTTTTGTGTGAGTGAGCCTTTGCGCGTTCCACAATATTTTTAGGCTTTGCTCTAATTTGTATCGATGTAACAGAGCTTCGAGCGCTATCGTTGCCATCCTGAAAAACACCTCTCTTTACGATAATAGGAAATTCCACTGTGTTTTCCTATCATTCATTCGTGAAAGTGACTACTTAAGAAAAATTAAACACATTTCACTGCTAAAGGTTTTCCGCGGTTTGGCGGTTCGGGCGATAAAGTTAAGAAGGTTTGGGATCCTTCAGATCTTGCAAGTTATTACTCTAGCATTAAGTTCTCTCTACACCTAATTTAAAACAAATATCTTTATATTGCATACTTATGCATTTCAAAATATTATTCTGAAGGTCCATTCGTAAAAAGGGCATTGCTTCTTGGCTTATTAGCAACATTCTAAAGGCTTTCGCATTTCGTAACCTCTAGACCCTACATTTGTCAAAGTTCTAAAAAGTACAAGGACAGAAGACCAATGTCCAGTTCTCCATGTTCGGATTGAAATGATATACGGCAGTTTTGAATATAATGTTCCCGCAACGTACTTGTCAGCCTAGAAAGAGTTTGGCAGCAATACTTCTGAACTTCATCAAGTCTCATTCATTTTACGCCCACATAAGAACAAGCTTTTGCTTTGCTAGAAGGGACGTTTTCACTTCTTTTTTAATACTCTCAAGCTCAATTCCGACATAATGACAGTGCATTGTAATGTGCTTCTTGCCTTCAAGATGAAAAGCGCCGATCTAGCACAAGATCGTTAAGAATGAGTCAAGTCTTCAAAGATCTTATCTTCGTAGCCGTGGAACACTAAGATCCTGACTTGATACCCAGCGGTCAATTGAAACGTTGTCATAAGAGTACAAGCAGACTTCGGTACATTAAAGACGACGCTTCTTTATTTTAACTAAGATAAAACTGACTAATTTAATTGAGAGTTTGATGCATTTTTAGTAACTGTGCGCTACGGCAAATGAAAAACATTTTTTGGATTCTTTGGTTTGCATGGACAAGTTGCAGCTCGTGGAGTCAATCGTTAACTTTCTCACTAAAGGAAACAACCGGGAGAGAAGAAGACAGTGCCCCACTGAAGTGGGAACGGCTAACTGGACATGCTTGGTACTGAAAGCGCTAGCAAAATTATCCTGCGGAACATTTTCTCGACTAAAGTTGAAGATTGTTCATTTATGATGCAAAGGACCAATAATATTTAGCATGTAAGTCGCCATGATTCTGCCTAGATACTGCTTACTTTATACATAGATAGGTATGGGTTGATAGATGATTTTCGAAATGTGCATCATACTGAA